TTTCGCGATACGTGTCACGGAGGCAACTGTAGACCAGAATCGATGGTTCTGGTCCAATGTACGAGGTGATGTCAAATACATTGTCGCTAACTGTCTGGTCTGTGCCGCTGATCGCGCCCCTATACGGGGACCAAACACAATCGTACCAACGGAAGTTGAGCGTCCTTTTCAGCGAGTCAGTATGGACACGACAGATATTGACATGCCACCTGGCCCAAACCGTTGTGAATCTTCTATTTTATTAGTATTAATTGAGCACTTTTCCAAGTACATCGAGGTCTATCCTTGTAAGACCCGAAAAGCTGCAGAAATAGTCACGTACATCGAACGGTTCTTCTATACCCATCTAGATACGGAAGATATTCTAACCGACAATGGATCTGAATTTAAAGGTGAGGTAGAAGAACTACTTGCGCGAAGGGGTGTCACGCTCCGACATACGGCACCCCACATGTCCCAGTCGAGCGGGTTGGCCAAGAATGCCAACCGTATGATTAAAACCGCCCTTCGCAAGGACTTAGCGGCACACGACACGCGTCCTTGACCCGAAATCGTGTATCAGATCGTTGGGATCCACCGGGCACCCCTCACGAGTCTACGGGGTTTACCCCCTTTCAGCTTCGAACTAATAGCCTCTTCTGTGTCGATTACAGGGGCAACTCAGAAATTGCCGAAGCAGGGGGTAGAGACACGCGTGCGGCACTCAAGACCAACGCCAAAAGGTACGCTGATTTGATGGAACGGGCCATCCTGAAGCTAGCCCGTAAAAGACAAAGGATGACCGAGTTGGTCCATGGTAGACAGATCCGTAGCTACGAGGCCCGGAATGGAAACGCTGGGCCCCAGTACCAATATAAATTAGGGGACCTAGTGCAGGTACGTAAATGTGCACGCGACCGGAAACTCGCTCCCGAGTACTCTGGCTGTTTTCGCGTTGTCGAACTCGGACCCAACGGCGCTAACACGGTGCGCGTCGCGCCTGAGGCTAGTGCCAGCCATAGCTCTGTCCCCATCGTCCGGCATACCTCCTACCTCCGTTTTCTTCCTCCTTCCGACTGTCCTCCCTCTTCTTCCTTGGAAAGCGAGGAGAACGACGACGATCTAAATTTCTCCCGTCTTTCTCCCTCTTGTCCTTCATCCTCCTCTCTGACCTCGCCATGAGTTCTATCACAGAGCGGGTTCTTGACATTCAGCTGTTGCAGCCACGTGACCACGTCTCAGAGATTCGGCAAGTTTGTCACCCTCGGCTCAATACGGATCTTCGGCGTTTAATGCGATTCTTCTGTGACGAAGGTATCTGTTCCGCCGCCACGTTTCGAATCGAAGGAAGTCCTTGTGCAATAGTGTTCGCGGAGGTTACCACAGTTCATCGGCGAGCGGGTCCCAGAACGAGCCACATCACCACAGTGGCGGGATTCACCGGCGACATCAACTCGGTCAATCCGTTGGGGCATACCGCAATCTTGGCCTCGCTGCGCGAGAGGACGGAGCAAGTGTCCAACGTATGGCAGCACGTCCTCGCCCGGGAGGGGTATAACATCATCCCGGTCGTCGCATCGGACCTTGACGGTATTCGCCGATCATCGCTCGAGCGGCCAGTTGCAATCCTGACCATCGTCCCCTTCCCCCATCCCCAATGAACCACGTTGTTCGTCTCGCTCCTCTCTCTACCTTTGGTCTCCCCTCTCTCTTCCCCACCTTCTGGCAATCCGATCTTCACCCTCTTATCATTCCTGGACTTTGGCGATTGTGGCGCGAAACTTTTGAGGAGCTGTCCATTTGCTTGGCCAGAGTACAGGTGACGTGGACGGGCAGTAGCGAGCATCCCACGTGGACCGAGAATCCGGAGCTGTTGATCATACAGGGTTGGAGGACTAACGCGGAAGGAGATCTTATTGGATTCCTCTTTGGATCGGTACAACCGGGTCACCGTCAGTTGATTGCACAGGAGCTCATCGCACCGATCGTGCAATTCGCGGACGATCTCTCGCCCGACATCTACTTTCAAAGTGACAACAGTCCTGCTCCGTACATTTTTGAGCGATCATTGGATTCGTACCTTCAGTGGACTTTGTGCTTGGAGGAACCTAGGGACGAGGATACGCTACCATCGCGGCAGGAGTATCTGAAGCCGTACAAGATCATCCCTTACGCCTTCTACCTGAGGGCAGAAGAAGTGGTGATCAACGACGACGACGACAAAGAAGAAGATGGCGACCCTGCAGCCGCCACCTCAAGTACCGTGCGACAGAGACGGCGTCGATCCCCCCCCTCCTCCAGCCCCATCCGTCCCCCAGTTCGCCCACGTACCGATGCGGGCGATAGGGCTTCGACCTCGAACGCTGCCCCGTCGACCCCTTGATTTTCTCACCCTCGAGCATATCCGTACCCCCGTCACCTTCCGTCCCCATCCTTTCCAATGGCATCCCCATCTCTTTCGCGACTTCTATTCTACCCGTCTACTCGCCACCGTCCATCCTCACGCCTCCCTTCAGTCCGCTGCTCCCACATTCTGTTGGCATCTCCTGCTATTCAGCGCTGCATGGGAGTGATCCAACATCGTAGAAGTCTATTGCGTTGCCACGGGGACAATCCCCGCCTGTCGCCACTTCGAGATCTTTCGAGCGGCGCTTTTCCACACCCTCTCCTCTTTCTACCGCGATTGCCTCGCTTCCCTCACCCGCAGTGGCGATCATTTCCCCCGCTTCCACCGGATCATCTGATATGAGGAGCTCCTGGTGACGATGGAAGGGATGAATCGCTTCCTACCCCCACTCACCCCCCCGTCATCCCTGCGAGATCCCCAGCATGTACTGCCTCTACTGGCCTATTCCAGCTAGGCGGTAGATCCCATTCGCCTGACCCCCCCCCAGACGGCAACGAGCAAGGGTGCAGAGCACACGGAGATCAGGTGGACCATGATGGCGTCACCTGGACGATCTCCACGAGGCAGAGGGCTGCAAATGACGGGGCTACAGGGATCTTGCCACGGATGTTGTCGCCATCTCATCCGTGACCCAGTTATCGTCCCTTGTACTTCTTTTGCCCCGTTGATACGCTTGGTTCCTCATGCATCACTCGGTTCTCCCCTCTTTCTTTCGCCATTCCATGCAATCAGGAGATCGCATAATTTTGGAACCCCCTTCGCATCACATATGTGACGAGCCACTTCCCGACCCCATGCCATCTTTCGTACCCTTTCTTTTGCTTGTATCATACCAACCCCAGGAAAACCACGTTTTGAGTTCTTGCTTTCAGGTGCTGTATTTTCCTTTTTGAGAGTTTTTTCGACTGCTGAGTTCTGTTTTTCTTCTTGCAAAGTCGGGAAATACATGGGAATTTACGTGCGCGTTAGCGAGCGCACTGGGAATTGGGCTCGGTAGTTGGGAATGCCGGGATATGCGAAACTTCGACGTGTCCTTTTTGGGTGTGTGAATGTTCTTAGGCGCGTCGGGGAAAATTCTCGGAATTTCGCGTGAATACGAATAGGCGTAGGATTTTTCTCGCGTTGCTTTTTCGTGCACGGATATGGTGATTTCAATTTTGAATTAGGATAAAAGCAAACTGTAACTGTTTCGGTGCCTTTTTCTTTCTTTTTTGTTGACGGCGCCACGCATGCAGAGGCTTTCTCCTCTTTGTCCCCCGCATCGCTTTCTCCCGCGCTCCCTTCCCTTCTCCCTCCTCTTTCTATCTCCCCGTACCTGTTTCTTCCTCTCTTCCCCTCGCCCATCTTGCTGTTTTGCGCGCCCATTTCCCTTTCTTGATCGTCTGAATCTTGGACCCGTCTTGCGCCACCTCTCGCGCCTTTTCTCTTCTCACCCTTTGAGTCTGGCGTACGACTCCCAGTCGATCCCCCGATAACTCCCGCTCGTCAATCAGGTGCGTGGATCGATAGGACCTTCCTATCGTGCGACGAATCTGATTGGTTGAACCTTGAGTTCCGAGGGATCAACATGGCGTTCTCGGAGCG